CCGCAATTACACGCTTTTTCTCGTCGCCGTTTTCGTCGTCGTGTGTCTGTCTGCCGTGGCAAACCTAGGTGATATTCTCGAAGCCTTGGGCGAGAAAGCTGTGGCTTCGTTTCAGAAAATGACACTCAAGAGCAAGAAGATGTTCAAGCAGTGGCCTACCACCCTCAAGGCTCCTTGGCTAGCTACGCCTAGGTCTCACGATTGCTGTGCTTCCTGGCTTCTGTGCATGGGGTTTGTCGCAGGAGCTGCAGAGTGTTGGCCCCTCGGTGGAGGCCATCCAGGCCGGGGGTCCAGTGCTGCATTGGCAATAGCACAAGCCTACACGGGCCTACAGCAGTAAGGAAGCCTAGTACTACAAGCCCCGAAGCTTCATAAAATTAATACTTAAGAAATGCGAAACTTCGGAACTTTATCCAAATCCCGAACCGGACCACTCCCGAAACCCTGAAGACCAAACCCTAAACCCTAAATAGGACATTCATGGTATTTTTTTTATCAGAACTCGAAAGCGAAACCAGGCCTCTGCTATCAGGTTTCAGTGTTGTCCCAAGTACTTGCAAGGATCAGCCAGAGTGACGTGCAAGTGAATGAGTTCTGGGTGTAAGAAGGAGAACTGTGGGAAAGCTAGTGATTTCTCAACAGTGGACCGGAGTGCTGGTTTTCTTGTATAAGATTTCGTGGAAGCCTCTCACGCTGGACTTGTTGTGCAGAAGCTTCTGCTACTTAGTAAATCGCCGCAGCCTCTATGAGGTGCGACAGTACTTCAAGTACGTGTTGCAAAGTGAAGGCTATATGCTAGGAATGAGAAAACGACAGTAAGCAATAAATATTCAAGCCGAAGCCAAGCTTGTCATGACTCGACAGCAAGCCAGATTCTGAAGTGCTGCAACCTAACTTCACCAGGCCAAGTGCCGTCACTGAACAGCTTTTACTGAAGAGTAAACGCCAAACCCCATCCCCACACTCCAAGCGAGATAATAAGAAAAAAACCAGCAATGTTCCCTCATCCCGGAACCCCTCAACATAAGTGTCCCACCTCCAAATTATACCCAAATGCAAGCCCAAGAATGCAAACTTGGCTTTTTGAATGCACGAAGGCCACTTTCTCTGAAAACCGCAGGAACCCAGGCCTCTGCTATGAAATACAAGTAGTGTCATTGTGGTTACCACGACCACCAGCAAAAAGCACGGAATCTCATGTGTGCTGCAATCAGCAGAACCTTCGTTCCTTCGTGCAAGGCAAGACACAGACACAACAATATTCCGTTTGCAGACAGCAGAGCATATCCGGACTTCAACATGGCAGTGCTGATTTAGTGACTTTGCCGCTGCTGCACAGAAGCATTGACTAACAATGAAGCAGCAATCTCCAAAGCATTTCTGGAAACCAGACAGGATCACAGAAAAAATTGAACAGGTCCGCTCTCACGGTGTCCCTCTTCCGGGGTGTCCCCTCCGAGACTTTCTGTGTGTTTGCCACTCGTTTCATCTCTGAGGTTTGGTGTAGCCACCACTGTGCATATCTTTGGAAGCTTCCTGAAGTAGCAGAACAGCAGACGAAAAGGAAGTTTCATGATTGGCTGTCAAAAGTGACTTCGACACATGGGGATGCCACTGAAACAACATGTGTATCATGTTTCAGAGAGGGGCACAGACATGGAAAGTGGGGTTCAGTTCCAAGCCCAAGCCTACGAAGAGTATGCTACGGGGGGAAACACAGAGCCACAACTAGAAAGTGATTTTGGTGTTTCTAGACCTGTGCCTACATTGCAGGACAAGGTGTGATCCGCTTTCTTCGTGGCCGCTGTGTGGAGTGCAGCTGTGCTTCAGACGACTGGGACACTACAGGTCGTCGGCTCGCTTCCGGGTGTGGAAAAATCCAAGATAGGCTCACAGAATCACGGCCTCTCCCCAGGATGCAGAGTGTCATTGAATTGAAGCCAGTCTGCACTGCCACAGCACAGCAAAACTTGCTTTCGGTCCGATTGCCCCATCTCAAGGACTTCAGGTGAGTCAGAAGCACGACAGCCGCAAACACCACTTTGTCCGGTCGGTAGAGCCTCATAGCTCCTGTTTCTC